ACTAAGCTTTTACCTTGATTTAGGACTTGAAGCCACCTCGATTTGGCTGATTCTTCTTCTATTTCTTCTTTCTCCTTGCTTGGCTGAATGGTCTGCCTCTCCAAGCTCCAAAGATGACAAAAAAAAATGACCAAAGAGGAGAAAAAGTGGTATATATAAGCTTGGTCTTAACCCTTATTATGTGGTAATCTAAGTTACCGTTCACTTTCACCACATCCCGCATGGCTTCATCCTACCTCTTCTCCCTCAAGATCACGCCACATACTCTCCTTAGGTGTCTTCCAAATTGAATGAAGATGCCACCTTAAGGGACACATAAGCACCTATGTGTAAAAATCTTTATTTTTTATTTACAATTCTAATTTTTTTAATTCTATCCTTTAACAAATTGTATTATTTCACTTAGGTCCTCTCCCTCCTCAAATGGGGCCATCTTGACCAGAAAAATGGAGAAAAATTTTACCCCACCAAGCTTATGGTTTTGCACTATATAATCTTGTAATATTGGTTAAATTTTTCTCAGATCTTGTTCAATCTATTGTCTCAAAAAAATTTATTTCTTTACACCAATAGCTTCCTTTTAATGAGGGGAGGTTCTTTTAATTTTCTTAGATTTTATTTTGCCTAATAACTCCTTCAAATAATTTTTTTTTCAAAATCGGCCTTTTATCAATATAATTTTATTTTAAATAATTTAAAGCTAACTTCTACATCTCTAGAGGCTAAGGATAATTTTTAAATTAATGATAACCTCTCAAATAATTTTGCTAATTTTTCATGAATTATTAAGACCCCTATATATTTTAAATAATTCAATTTGGCCAATTTTTCTTACTTAGCCAAAATTCTATAAAAAAAATCCACAATAAATTATTTTTATGCTATTTTCCTTTTCTAAGCCTCAAATACTATTCTAAACCCTTATTATATTTTTCATGAATTTTAAAATTTTTTTGAAATTTTGGATACATTTTCCCACTCTGTTCTATTTTGACTGGATATTTTGAAAATATCAATCTGGTTCTCGATCTGGTTTCAATTCAAAAGTTGTGTTGTCTATCTATCTACTACCCTGCTTGACCTATAGTTTATTTTATATTCTGTATTTCAGAGTTAAAATTAACAGGATGTGACAAAAGGAGTATGAAGAAAACCAACAAAGATAATATGATGAAGAGCCAAAAAATCATATTCAAAGAAACAAGAAACTAAAACAAGAATAGAGCCAAAAGAAAATATTCAAAAACGAATTTGTAGAAAAAATAAAGATAATTAGAAAGCGTGGAAGAAGAGACAAGCATGTCCACGGATGATTTCTGTTCGTTGCTAGAGACAAACTTAAGGTATAGCAGCTACCACAAGAATAATAAGAATAATTATTTTGTCATATTGTTAGAAGTTTAAAATTACTAAAACACTCTTTTTAAATAATTTGAAATATATTTAATGTCTTACTCGGACCAACGATTTGTGCATGCTCTCTTTCTTCTTCTCGACTATATTTTCATAATTATTTTTACTCATATCTTATATATATTTTTCAAAAAAAAAAGAAAAAGAATCACTGCTTCATAAAATATTCCAGATGAAGGATTATGCATTTATCACATTCTGTTTTTTTATTCATGCAAGTTTCACATAACTTTTTTAAATCATAAAGCTTGAGTATCGATTTCAATTGTTCATGAAAATATTTTGTGTAGCTCTAATGATGATCCAGGGGAGGCAAAAGAAGAAAATTTCTCCCCAGCAAATTTAAAAGATGATGAATATTCTACTTTACCAATATCAAATATGTTGGATAATATAGAACTCTTTGTAGACACCAAGTCCAAGTACAATTTTCACTCTTGGGCAGACAAATTTTGAGGTAATTTAAGATCATTTGTCTTGCGTTTCTCTTTTGAAAAAAAAATCTCAAAAAAATATTTTAAAATTTGAAAATTCCAAATAAAAAACGACTAAAAAATGTGTTATTATTTACTTGTCAAATATTATCAATTATTATTAAAGCATAGTCAATAAGATTGATTTAAAATTTTAAAATTCAAAATTTTTTTTTGAAATTTTCCCTTAAAAAAATGAGTGTGTCAATATTTATTATTTAAGCAAGGGAAAATCATCAACCGACTTCTTTCTTTATTCTACATAGCATTATTCAGGTTCATTTTATAAATTTTTTATATACACGCATAAACATCATATATCAATTTTGTCTGCATATTATTATTTGAATAATATTTTATATGTATTTTTTTATGATGCTGCAGACTAGAAGCAGCAAAATGGAAAAAGGGTTGCTTCTATGAAGTGGGAAGCGTAGCGTTTAGCCAATATAAATTAATGTGTTGTAACATGATTTTAAGTGAATGTATAGATAATAGATTATGGAATCTCACGTTACCTTCTTTAATATTGTAAGACTAATCATTTATAGTATTTTGATATTATATTTTTAGTCTTATTTAAGCAATGTCAAACCTAGACGAGTGTAGTGTGTATAATTTTTTGATTTATATATATAATATTAATAATGAAATTTTTTAAGGTTAACGTGTATATAATATCTTGAAGCTTTTTTCAAGTCCAGCATTTTGAAATGCACTTGAATGGTTAAGTGATTCATGCATAAAATTCACTTGAATCCTTCAGGCTCCATCCATTTTCTTCGGGAATTAACATTTTGCAAAGGCAAGCTGATGGAAAATAGCAAACTGTGATGCATATTTGTGAAAAGCAAAGTAACGTTAAAATAACATTTGGTCTTGTCTAGAGCAAGTAATACGAGTATAGCTCATGGGCCGTCAATTCCCAAAAAATAGTGGGTTGAATTGATGAGAATTAGGTTTATTTTAAAATAGATTTTTTGAGCTCGTAACCGCTAAGACAGAACCCACAGCAAGTTAACCCATTTTATTTTTTATTTTATTTTTCTCTTCCATTCAAATATAATTATGTTTACTCCTTTAGTCTTTTATTTCATTCTGATTATTTAAAATTACCATAATTTAATATATTTTTCAGTTTGTATTATGAATTTTATTTATGGTAGAATTAGTTAAGCAAAAAGAAAGTGGTTTTACTTTTCAAGCTTAGCCAAATAATTTCACCTTTTTAGATCATACTTTGAATCCTATCAATATTGAATGGTGACCGATGGTTAAGCACTTGATAGGCCTTTTTAGATCATACTTTGAATCCTATCAATATTGAATGGTGACCGATGGTTAAGCACTTGATGGTGATTTATGACATTGTGTTTGTGTTATTATTGGTTTAGATTTGCTATGTTTTAATTTGGGATGTATATTTAATCGTTTAGGATGATGTATTATGTATGTTTAATATTTTGGGATGTTTAGAATTTTAAATTCTATGTTTCATTTATGATAATTTTATTTAGATGTTTCGTTTTAGGTATTTAGAAATTTGAATAGATTTTATTAAAAGAAAACAAAATGCAAACAAAATTAAAAAAAAAAACTTTGTGGGTTAGCCTAGGAGGCTGGGTTGTTAAAATACCAAAACTACAAAAATTGGTTCTTTTAAGACTGGGCATGGGTTAGCTCATAACCAGAATTGGATTCCCTCTACTATCATTCCCATCCTTTTTCCCTCCACTACCATACTTTTCTCTTCACAACCATTGGATCAAAACTCAAATAGTTCAGATTTAATATTTTATAACATTTTATAAAAATAAATATTATGATAAAAAATAAATCAATAAATTTAAACTGTTAAAATCTAATTTGAACAGTTCATAACTACAGACTGTTATTATAGAACAAATTTTTTTTCAATTTTTTTTATTACAATTGTGAACTGTTCAGACCATATTTTAACAGCTTAAATTTATTTATTTATTTTTGTAATGACATTATTTTTATAAGATGTTAAATCTGGACCATTGGAATTTTGATCCAATGGTTGTGAAGAGAAGAGGAGGATAGAGGAGGGGAAGAGGATGGAAAGGGTAGTGGAGAGAATCCAAGTCCCTCATAACCAGTAGATTGACTCATGTTACCGGCTCTACTTTTATCTTAATAAAGTATTTTTTATTTTGTAGAAAAAATTAATCCTCAAGTCCATATGATTTCCCCTCACTTTTAATTAAGTCCCTATGTCTTTTTTTGGCCCGCCAATTTTAATTCAGTTAAAATTTAGAATCTCATGTTTTTTTTCCAAATGGATTATACAATATACGAAAATTCGGCCTCTAGTTTTATCCTTCATGTCAACAAAAATATTTTGAAGTCATAATGGAAAAATTATTTTCCTAAAATTTTCAACGCAGTTCTTTTAGCATCATTACCTCATGTGCAGTGGCCAACAGTAAAGTCAGAACTTTCAAGGCCAACAATACTGAGAGTAAAATTGAAAATTTTAATTAAAAAAAACAATACAGGCACCAAATTAAAAATTTTAAAAAATATAGGGACATGAAAATTGTTTTTTTGGCCTAAATATCATTTTGTTGGGTCCCAAAATGTCATTTCCCCTAAGCTGATTTTCACACATCTCTGACAGTTAAAAATAAATAAATAAACAAACGCACTCGCGCACTGTATCTCTCTCTACAATTCATTGGACGGTGTTGCGGGGGGTGTGTACTGTGTCGTGCCTGCCCCCACTCACCATTAAGTCGACAAAAGGAAAGAAAACGAAATAAGCCAAGTGACCCCCCTCCATAACTAGTAATTAACGTTATTTCTCTGAAAGGTTCATTTCCTCCTCTTGCCACACGCCTCTCTCTCTCTCCCCTCTCTGGGTTTGTTCTCTCATGGACTATTGCTAGGTGGGGTTCATCGCACCTGTGGCTAAGCTTTCTCTTCAACTAGGGTTGATTCTAGATTCTTGGTGAGCATCTTCCTTTTTCTTGCAATCTTTCGTTTCCTCTTTTAGACACTAATACTTCAAACCAACTATTTTCCTCTTTTTCTTTTCCTGTAATATTCCCCTTCTCTTTCTCTTTCTCTCCCCTTTCTTCGTTTTCCTCTTCTTCTTGTTTAATTCTCAACACTTCGGTGTTTGACAGTAAGATTCCTCAATCGTTTGCTTGTTCTGATTGGAAGCCCTCTTTGTTCTTCAAGGTTTAATTTGTCCTTTATTCTTTTCTTCTTTCTGTCGACCCAAGAACAATTTTTGTGTGTTGCTTAATGGATCTGGGATTGATTTTCTACTTCGATTTGAGAGATAATGGGCCACCTCCTTTCGTTTAACTGGTCGGGAACTAAATATTCCGTTTTTTCAGTTATGAAAGATTCAGTAATTTTTATTTTCAGCCTGAATCTATCATATTTGTTGATTATTAATGAATTGTTTTCCTTATTTTCGTCCCTGATTTTTGGGTCTATTTTTGCTTCATAAGGAAATGACAAGACAGAAGATAGAAATAAAGAAGATCGATAACATAACTGCGAGGCAAGTGACATTTTCAAAGAGAAGGAGAGGGTTATTCAAGAAGGCTCGAGAACTCTCAACTCTCTGTGATGCTGAGATTGCTCTCATAGTCTTTTCTTCCACTGGGAAGCTCTTCGAATATGCTAGCTCAAGGTCTCTCTCTTTCTCTCTTCGTTTTGATTTTCCCTTTCATCTTTATATATATATATATATATATATATATATATATCTCACAAGTATTTTCAATCTATCTGCAACTCGTCGATGGTTGAATGCTTTTACCCGGTAATTATTGTTTAATTTTCGCACCTACATGCAAGATTCGTAATCATGTACTTGTGCTTATTATTTTAATTTTATTTTAAGCTCATTGATCTAGGCAAACGTACACGAGAATGACCACGAACGTGCTAGCTTAGAGAATGTCACTGTTTCTATCAAACACTTTTCTGAGAAAATAATAATGATAATCTTGGCTGACTTGCTGTACTTGGCTTTTTGATTTTCTGAAACTTCAACTTCTTTGTTTATGATTCTTGAATGTTTCCCCCTTTATAAATGTACATCTTATTTTTTGCATAGTAACAAAGAAAAATGCCTTTAAAAACTTATCACTTATTGTTTTGATATGTAACTGCAAAGAAAATACCAACATGATGACATGTTATAGTTCATTTCATTTCCAATATGGATATATATATATATATATTTATGGCCTTATTATAGATTATTCTCCTCAAATACGCCTCTAGACAACGAGATGTTTTATTTTGAATGAGACCTTTTGACCACTTATGCAAAGGAAAGGATTAGTTCATTTAGCTTGCTTGAGTGAAAAAAATGGTGCTTAGGGTAAAATATCTGATTTGAGAACATGTTTAGTTTTCAGAAGAAAACGCATTTTCTTGTTGTTCATTTAGAGGCTTTACATCAGTTACGCAAAAGACTATTTTCTGTAATGGCAGTGCAACACAACGCATTAAGCTTTTCCTCTTTCTTTGCTTTGCGAGATTAGTGTTTCAATTTGTATTCTCTTTCAATCCTCTAGAGGACCCTTAGATACATCACATCACATCAGCATATGTGTGAAGTTCAAATTTATATATTTGCATGTGTATTATAGGCATTTCGCATGCGTCCACACATGCAAAACTACTAAAACTTGCTAAGGATGAAATCTATCCTGGCTATCAAAATTTTTGCTTACTAGGTACAAAAAAATTGACTTTTAGCGGCGACAAAAAGTCACCACCTATAGCAATCATGGTTGAAAAGTTTCAGTGGCGACAAAAAAAGTCACCGCTGAAAAGTGGCTACTGAAAGTGATGCTAGAGAAAAATGGCTTCACTGATGCCACGTTATGGCCATATCACCACTCTCATGCGGCGTGACTGTCCAAATATTTTCATCTTAAATGTGTCTTTTGCAAGGTTCAAACTCATGACCACTTCTTTTTGTGTTCAATCTTCTTGCTGTTGAGTAGGATTGAATTTGTTGATTATTATTGTAAAATAAAATATATATTATCATACTATGATTTATTAAATGTATACGTTTAGTAAAGTTTAGAAGAGGTTTATATTAGTAGCATAGGAAGTGCAGGAAAAAACAAAAAGGAAAAAGAGTGAGTGAAGTTCAAAATATTTAAGAAATGAAGCAAAATTCTGAAACTACTTATGAGATATGGGAGATCACTCCAAACTTATATTGATAATATAAAAAACACACCATTGAACTATAACATAGGAGTTATAGTAATTTTCTTGTCTAAGAGCAATGGTCAGATTCAACAAACTAACCAAATTTGATACTCTTCATTCCTGCATAACAAAAGTTTGACAATTGCCATGTTTAATTTGATTGGAAACACTGGAAACTCAGAGCGATGAAACTCTTTATGGTTATCCCTTTTAGAGTTTTATTCATCATCGTAAATCCATTTATAATCATGAACGAGTTATTTTAAGTGCTTTGCCTCTGTGAGTTAGAAACGAACTTTCCACAAAACCTAAGTGAATTTGCGCATTTGTTATTAGGAGGTGTTTTAATAAATAAAAAAAAGTCAATATATTTGTTGTATTTCAAAATTTTATTCCTCCACATTATCTTCTCTATCCGGCTTCTTTACACATCCTTCTCTATGGATCACCTGTAGTTTAATAATTAATCCTCATATAGAGTAGTGTCTGCGTCATTTTTCTTTTAACTTTTCATTAAGACATGAAAACACACAAGGATATTTCCACCATTTCATCATAACGACGCGATTAATGCAAGCTATTTACACCAATTCTTTCCATGACTGGTTTGAGGAGTGGCCGTAATTGTCCCCTGTCAGTGTAAAAAAAAAAAAAGTATCAAAGATATTAAAAGAAGTAAAAAGTGTCGCAGTTAAAGTCATGGAATTAATTGGCAAGAGAGAATAATCAGGCTACCACTTGTAGTTGTCATCGAGTAATTTTGACATCACAATTAATGAATCATAGAATGAAAATTAGAGTCAGTCGCATTTGATTGCACTTATAATCTTTTAACGTGCAACCTTTTTGTTTACTTGTCATTTGATTCCCCCCCCCCCCGGTTACCAACTCATTTGATGATTTTAGTCACACAAAGTTGTGTCAAAGTGCCTAGTAGTACTTCAGAGATTAAAGAATGATTTTGTGTTTATACCAGAAATTCGTGAATAAAGAATGATTTTAGGGGCTCATATAATATTATTATCTCTGGTCTTTAATATAAGAGCTAGTAGGGAAATTGAAATGGTTATAAATAGAAGACCCCAATCCATTCCCCCTCATATTTATCCAAACTAACCCTATTAGTTGTGCATGTGCTAAGGAAGTTTGCATTAATGGATAGTTTCAATCCAAATCATTTAAGAAGATATTTGAGAAAATCAACACATAGTTTTGACAAATAACTAATTTAATTATTTTCCTTAATCTATCCAAATTAATTAAGTAGATCTTATATTAAGGATTGGGGATTGTATATCATTTTATACTTGGGGGTTCAAGTTCTCTAATACCCCTTCTCTTTTTGGTCCCATAATGCGGACAGTTTGTAGTTTGCAGAATAAATTTTGAACCATCTGTCTTTTTCCTTATCATAGTGTGCCGCAGGTTATCGAAAGATATGATCAGTACTCACAAATTGGGAGATTATATCATTCATCTGTTTTGGTAAGATCATTATGCGTATTCTTTTTTTCCTGAAACTGACTTCGTCTAAATATATGCTTCGCAATCCTTTTGCTCCGTTTTCCTCCTCCTTTAAATATAAATTAGCCTGAATTATGCGACACTTATTCCATATCTCCTGAATAGTACAACTTATAAGCTCTTTTATATTATATATGCATATTTAGCTTGGTTTTGTTGAATTGTCCTTGCCATAGTACATTTGTTCCGTTTCGTTTGATTTCAAAAACTTTATCCCTTATCCGTCTTCAACTTGATTATTTGTTTAATCACATAGATTTTCCCCTTTTCCACGGTTATATAATAGTTTTGTTTAGAAATGATGAAACATTTGGATTCATAGCTTATAGCTCACCTCCACCTAGCATAGGCCAAAGCTAAAACAGGATCCAAATGAGGTGATATCAAATGAGAACTATGAATAAATAAAAAAAAAATGATTCAAGTTCGCCGACAATGTGAATAATAATGGTAATAAAATTTTATGTATATATAATAAAAGTTACGTTTTTCACTATGCTTGACCAGAAATTCAGTAACAATGAACTAATAGAAATCTCATGGGGAATTTAAGAAGCTAATAAGCCTCAGGAATTGAGGTACGTAATACAAATATGTGTGCGCGCACGTGCACGCGCGCATGTACACTGTGAAGCTTTTATTATGGCCTCCTCTATGCAGAGACTTATATTGCATTAGTAAGGGGATGACTATACCTTATAATTATATTGAAAGGCAGTTGAAGGGAGAAGAGCTTGAAGGATTGAACACAAAGGAATCAGATAAGCTTGAAGAACAAATAAAAAGTGGGTTGAGCCGTGTTGTCAAAGCAAAGGTTTGCACTTTTGCTAAAAAAATTGATCTTACTTGGCCTCAACATGAGGGAGTTGTTGGCTAAGCTAATTACATATGACGGATGTGTTGGAAAAAGCTCATTTTGATAAGCTATTTGGAGTAGCTTATCCCCAAAAAAAAAAAAAAAGAAGCTAAAAATATTCCCCCCCCCCCAACAAAATCTTCATGTAATCTTCTCCCAACAATTCAAGTGTTAAACTTAACTAAAATCACTTTTTTCTTTAATGTTAAACAAATTGGCCCATAATAAAACCTGACTAGTTCCTGTTGCTTATGCGGTAGCAATATTATTGATTATATATTTGGAAATTAATTAAGCTGCTAATGCGGTTGACTTAGCTATTATTAAGATGAAAATGCTTGTTTAATCATTTTATTATTTTCTCTCATTACAAAAAAGTGCCCTGGCTCCAACTTTTTAAAGATTTAACTGCAGCAAGAGCTTAACTGTGATTTCTCAAACCCCAACGAATCATCTCGAACAAATGGTTTAACCATGATTCTGTACAACTATGAGTTAAAATTAAGCTTAACTCCGGTTGTTAAGCAGCAATTAAGGCTGAGCTTCCCTCCAATTTTCATAAAGCACAGATAGCGCAACTCACTTCAGACTATTCAAATGCATAGGGTTAAATATATAAGATATGATTTCAACAATACGGCACCTGAGAATTTCTCCTCCTTATATACGTGCCTTCACATATAGTCTGAAATGAAATTAGTCTCTACCTCATAGAATGCAGAATAAATAAAAACGTAGGGAAATTTTAGTGAGAGAGAGAAGATTATGTATATTGATATATATATATATTTGTATACATATTTCACTTTTGCTTTCCCTGAAATTCAAGAGTAATGAATCATAAATGTTATGCATAGTATGACAGGGACACTTTCAGCAAGCTCAGCAAGGAAGAAGCCAATAAGGTTCAGGAACTGAAGTATGTATGTATATATATTTATGTGCTATTACATATTTATACAGTGAAGTTTTTATGTTGTGCCTACTCTATGCATATACCTACAATGTTGTATTACTGAGCGATCACTATGTCTTATAATTGAAAGGCAGTTGAAGGGAGAAGAGCTTGAAGGATTGAACATAAATGAATTACAGAAGCTTGAAGAGCAATTAGATAAAGGTTTGAAACGTGTAGTCAGAGCAAAGGTTCGAATTGTCTTATCCACTTCTATGTTGCATCTTTATTTGTATATGTACCCGTGGAAGAAGGAAGGAAGAATCTCCATGAATTTTGGATCATTTTGCAGACACTCTTTCAAACTTTCAAAACATAAAGATAAGTTCGTCAACTCCCAACATTGTTATATGTTGGGACCATGAGAAGCTTATCTTGTCAATTATAGATGAGTTTTGAGATGACATATATACTTATCAATAACAATAAAAGTCTATTATGGAAGAACCTATCTTCCTGGACCTATTTTTCAGTTTGAAAAGTAATTAGGAAGCTATTTGTTGGTTTTTGCATTCATTTTCTTGATATAACAATTGAGGGATCGAACTCTCATTGATTTTGAAATGTGGGGTTTATTATTTTTGGAAATTCTAGTTTGGATAAAGCTTCATTTCCAAACTTTTTGCATTTAAAAGTATTTATTCTGGATTTCTATTACCCACACCTAGCTATGTTGAAAATTTGTGAAATTGACTAAGCTGAACGGAAACTAATCTATATGGTATATGTTCAATTTCACTAGCTTCAGAGCGTCCATTCTCATGAGAGTGTCCCTCAAAAATTTGAGAAAGAAGAATGTATTGAAACATTGGCTATTGTGGGAGAATTCTGCTGCTACTTTTTTTTTTTCCCCCCTCCCAATTTTGAAACAAAATTACTTCAATACATTGCTCCAATAATTTAAAAATCCATTTTCTGCTAACATAAAGAAGAGATTTTCCAAAGCTCTTGCTCAAATACCTTCAAACAAATTTTCTCGCTTAAACTACTCCTTCCAAACACACTATAAAGGATAGCTTTAGCGATTGTTTTATTGGGGCCACTTTGCTGATATCCAGAAATTATTATAACTAATCTGCATAGATGGTTCTTTTTGTGATTTGCAGGATGACATAATGTTGAAAGAGATCGATGCGCTCAAAAGAAAGGTCAAGCACATTCCAAACTTAATTGTTGAAATCTTATATATTTTTGTTCAGTTATAACTTGAAGCTTGAAGAGGAAAAAAAAGAATTATCATCGTCAAACTTTCTTTCCCTTTCCCATCCTCCTTAATCCATTCATACATGGAGAATTTGAATCATTAACATATAATGTTTGGAAAAACAATCTACATGATTCTTCTATTTAATATGATACAACGAAAAATTTTTTTATTAAAATATGCCCTGTGGACTAAAGAATAGCAAGTCTAAGACATCTATGGATTGAATTGAGTATTCCTTGGCTGTGTTTGTATCTTCATATTTAATCCGTAAGTATTAAAACTACATGTCTGGCTTTTAGGTTCCCTCACTTGTCTGAAAATGCTACTTGTTTTATCCGTGCAGAGAATCCAATTGGTGGAAGAGAATCAGCTATTAAAACAGGTGACCGGAATTTTGAAGTGTTTTTTCATTGTAAACCGTTAAATTTCTGTGTTTCTAATGTTTACAGCATCGAACTAGTTAAGACATTGATTTAAATTTTATTGCCCTGTTAATAGATGATCCTTAGTTGAATGGGTCATTATTAAATTGTATACATAAGAAAATCCGTTTTTTTTTTGGTTGACCAAATTTGACTGACTATTATGTGGAAGCTTTTGAAAGCATTTTAAATCAAAGGTCCACTTCACTGGTTGAACCAGCTGGTCCAATCTAGTTCTCAAATCACTTGTTTTGAAAGAGAGTCTTAAAAGATGGAAAATGTCTGTGTTTAGGTGAGGAATCCTTCACAAGAACAAGGAGGCCAGTCATCTGAGTCAGCCAACATTGGCAGCATATTTGATCCTCCGCATGATGATGATAGTTCAGACACTTCTCTCAGATTGGGGTGAGTATAACTGACTTAACTGTCTATTCTTGCGCTTTCTGAACTATCATCATGATTTTGCTGGTATAGTGAATAGACTTGTGATTACATGATGGGTTGGTTTTATATAGAAACATAATACTGAGGATCTCAAAACAAAAAGTAAATTTCAGCAGCCAGATCTTTAACAGTTTGGAGGAGCATTGAAATCATATGATAATACGTGAATATATCCTTGTCAGAGTTCTGAATTGTCAAATATTGGGGATTGCATGTGTTAATAAGGGTCTCGTTTTAACACTCAACATTGAGTCACAAAGCCAACAGCCTTATAGCTTAGTGTCATGAAAATTTCCTAAAAGTGAGAAGTAATTACGGGTTTGATCTGACTTGTAATCTCAAACCGGTAATACTTGTTCTTGAAAAAAAAAAAAGAGGAAGTCAAACAGTGAACTTTAGCTTGTCTTTGCAAGGTTTATTTAGAATATGTATTCTTGCATACACTTAATGTGAGACTAAATTTATTAGTGTGTGTGTGTGTGTGTGAAATTAAGGATCAGATGTGGATCTGTGGCATATATTATTAAAAGTTTAACTTGATTTTATTTTGTGTGTTGCAGATTGTCTTTATTTAAATGAGAACAGGAAAAAAAAAAAAAAAAGATGATGAGGCACTATAGAGCAGAACCAGATACTCTTGAGATCATCATTCTTGCGGGTGAAATTGAACCAATTCAGGAGCTTTTTTTCCCATTATTTCATGAGAATTTAAGTTTGCTTTTAATCCGTAAGTAGGTATTGGTTACATAAATTGACCAAATGAACATATACATATGTGTGTGTGTACATATCCAATGGTGTTGTACATAAATTCCAAAGTCATGTATAAACAAAGGGTCCAGTGCTCGGCCTTAATGTGTGCAGCTTCATTCACCCGCCATGGTGGTGGTTATTTGACATATTCTGCAACCAAAAAAAATAAAAAATAAAAAATAAAAGAGAGATAGGGAGAGAGAATTAATGTATTAGTACCTCCGCTACTAATTGTAAAAACAAGTAAGGTTTTATAATTAGAATTGGGGGTAGTATTAGTATTACCAATATAAAATTAAGTATGAACTGATCATTCTTAATTAAACAATACTTTTCAACATATGGATTTGATATTGAGAATTATTTTTCTGGTCTTATTTATAAATTACTGGTAACATGTTTTATTTTTAGTGATAGTACTTCTAACATGTTTTATACATATTAAAAAAAATTTAAATTTATTAATTCTGATTTAAAATTTAACAATTTTTTAATTTTAGTCTTGTTTAATATATATTATATTTTGTGTAAATAAAGTTAACACAATAACAATTAAAAGGTAAAATTGTATATTTTTATAAAAAATTTCTCCTCGCATTCATAAATAAGATTTAAAAATATCTTTTCTTTTTGCTTTACAAATAAAACTAGAGAAGTATATGTTTATTGCTAAAACAAATTAAGAAAATAAATAATTGTATATCTATACAAAAAGTTTTTCTCAATATTTATAAATAAAACTAAAAAATGTCTTTTCTTTCTGTCCTATAAATAGGATTAGAGGAGTATATGTTTATTGCCAAAACAAATTAAAAAAATGAGCAATTGTATATTTATACAAAAAAAAAATCTCTCAGTATTTATAAATAAGATTAAAAAATGTCTTCTCTTTCTGTCTTATAAATAGGATTAGAGGAGTATATGTTTATTGCCAAAACAAATTAAAAAAATGAGCAATTGTATATTTATACAAAAAAAAATCTCTCAGTATTTATAAATAAGATTAAAAAATGTCTTCTCTTTCTGTCTTATAAATAGAATTAGAGGAGTATATTTTTATTGCTAAAACAAATTAAAAAATGAACAATTGTATATTTATACAAAAAAAATTTCTTAGTATTTATAAATATGATTAAAAAATATCTTTTCTTCCTGTCCTATAAATAGGATTAGAGAAGTATATGTTTATTTGCCAGGAAAAAAAATTAAGAAAACGAACATTTCATTCCTTGAGTGAGAGATTGGCTTTTTACACACCATACTGGTGAACAGTGCAACATTTGTATTTGAGCCAAAATGTATGTTTTGTTTTTTTTTTTTTTTGGCAACCTCAGAAACTATTGTCTTCTTTATATTATTTTTTGTTTTTAATATAAGACTTAGTTAATTAATTTGGAGAGATGAAGAAATTTATTTTATCACTCTAAAGTATTTTATATTTATTGGCTTTTTAAAACTAATTTTTCCCTTACTTATAAATTAATATATAATCTAATGATACATATAAGTATTTTAAAAAGATTATATAATATATGTTATAATTAATTAATTTAGTAATTTTTTAAGGGAAAATGACAAGAAAATGACTGTTGAATTCTGAAATGATAAAATGGGCATGTAAATTACTGAAATGACAAAATGGGTATAGGGTATCAATATGGAATTTGGATAATTCGCCAAAAAGATTGAAGTGCAACGAAATAGGAGTTTGGTTGGCTGTTCTCCACTCAGCGAAACTGCATAGACCATAGGGTTCTCTGAACTCTCACATTGCACTCGGCAAAACTGCATATGGTTCTCGCAAGTCTCACATTGCCATGGTTGAGGAACTGTGAACGAGGAATGTGAATAGCGTCCGGCTTCTTTGTCTTTTCCGTGGGTCGCAGTGAGAAGCAATAAACCAGTGACAAGCTTTAATCTTCATAAGGGAGAGGGGGTGGCTAGAGAGAGAGATTCTGAGGGAGAGCACCTGTAAGGTTGTCACCGGTTGAGGAAGAAGTCGATATTCGTTCCGACCCGTTAAGCCACCTAAATCTCTCCATCTTGTGCTTGTCTGATTGGAGTGTTTTGATTTGGGGAAAACGGTGAATGTTGGTTGTAAAGTGGGGGAAGCAATGGTAAAGGCTTAAAATGGAATGTAAAGGTAGATTAGATTAAAACTCGGTGCTTCTGTGTGTGACGGAATTATAGAAGTTGTTTGCTTGCTCTAATTCATATAACTCGGTCCATGTTTGACGAGATATCTCTCTGATTGTTGTTGTCTGATTGTTGTGTTGCTGTAATGTTGGAAGGCATAATATACGTGTGTGTTTATGATTGTTACACTACTTTTTAGAAGCCCATAAATTGAGACCATTGTCACACATGAGCTAGTGGATGCTTCCTGTTTCCGCCCCCTTGTTTGGTCTGTTCGTGTAATGGACATTGCACATTTTTAGCATTGTGTATGGGACTAAAATGAGTTCAACTATATCCCCATATTGGTTATGCAAATTTAACATTGTAAAATAAATTGAAAGGGGTGACTCTTCGTGGGTAGAACTCTGTTTTGAGGATATAGCTACCTAATGGGCATAACCTCAGTCATTTAGCGGTGCAATTTACCTGGGGATGAACATGCATATTCATTTCAGTATGTACCAAGTGAGAATAACCTTTGTGGCCTTCTTATGTATTGCTATTATTTACTTGGTCATCTGTGGCACTATGTAGTAGTAATTTCCATAATATAAGTTACTTGAAGATGCAAATTTGTAACATTTCATCGAGAAAGAATCACTTTTGATGCATATTCATTTATTTTTTAATCTGTTGGTCTGAGGATTGAAGAGGCAGAGATTAATTTGCTAGTTTGAGGATTGAAGAGCTAGAGGTCGCTGAAGTGCTGAGAAGCATCAATCGCATTGCTGTCATGGAGGAGGTTGGCGAAGTAACTATGACTGCGACAAACGATAATATGCAGTTGTAATAGGAATTAAGTGGTTGAGTTATATTGGTTTGGTAAGATTAGATTGTTTTTAGTTTGTTCTTAAAGTGTATTATGTTGTTAGTCTCTATTTTCTGCTCTGTTCTGTGAAGTGAGAAAGAAGCAATAACATTCATTACATGATCAGCAAATTTAGTTATCTTAGTAGTAAATAGTCGAGGTTCATTTTGTGGCTAAATAACAACACCTATAATGTGAATGACTACACTGGAAATGGTAATGACAACTTTTTTGAAATGCGAAGAAAGTTGAGCTGTTCAATTGACCAGATTTAGTTATTTATGCTTGTTGTAGAAGGAGGGCCAAGTGAAGAAGTGAAGAATGGCTACATGTTGTTTAGACGAGAATTTCTTAAGGGTGGGGAGAAGTTTAAGAATATGTCCGAACAAGTGAAAAAGGCATCAAAGGCATGGAAGCAGTTGACACCAGAGGAGCAGAAGAAATACAGTGATAAGGTGAAGCAATCAAGAAAGGAAGGGATGAAGAAGAAGAGAAAGAAAAAAGTGGTTTTTAGCACTCGTTGCTTGGTTCGGCAATTTAAGTCATTAGTGGACTTCATAAAAGATGATGAAGGTTTGAAAGTGAGGGTACAAAATTTAGGCTTTGGCCATTTACTTGACATTGAATGTGAGAGACTCCATCGTGACCTCATAGTATGTGTGCTCCGAGCATATGATCCGCCTACCCATCAATTTCTAATAAGAGGGATAATAAAGGAAATAGAAGCAAATGATGTTGCAAACTTGTTGGGTATACCCCACATAGGGGAGAAGGTAAAAATAGACGTATGTGATGATGATGAGACATACCAGAGGTTGAAGGAGGAATTTGGTAAAGTCCCTTATACGAAGATACTCAATGACATTAAATTTGGGCAAAAGAAAGATGAGTTTGAGTTCTTGTTTATGCTATACACACTTGGAAGTTTTTTAACTCCTACTTCACAAACAACTGTGAGTGACAAGCTATTAAGAGTCATGTGTTGTACCATGAAGGGATTTCACCAATTTGATTGGGCCACGTACATTGTGAAGCACTTGTGGAAAGAGATGGGAGATTATGTGAAAGTGTACACAAAAGCAAAGAAAGACGAAGATGAAGATGAAGGAAGCTGCAATGTGGGAGGATGCATCTACCTCCTATTAGTATGTATTTCTGACTTATGCTTCTAAGTTATTTTTTTCTTTATTTGTGGAATTGGGAAGTTAATGATTTACTGTTGTAGTTATATTTTGTTGAGCACTTCCCACTATCCAAAACTGTTGAGAGAGGGTCCCTAAATGCTATTCAATTCTGGACTGATGAGAGGATAAGGAAGCTGGAAAAGAAGGAGAGGGAAAGCAAGAGGGGTTTACTGTATAAGGGCAAGGGAAGTATGGATAGAAATGGGAAGGATGAGGGAAAACACAGAAGTGTGGCTCATTTACACCTGGTATGTGCTTTCGTTACTAATTTTCATTCTCATTAGCAAATAATCTCATGAAAAAAGTGTTTACTCATTTTAAATTGTTTGTTGCAGGAGTTACAGAAGTTGCACGGACGATTGATGGCTCAGATCGAATTAAGCACTAGGAGGCTTATAAGTGAAATAGAAGATGAGCTGGATAAGGTGTAGATAACGATAGAGGAAAATAATGACCACAGATGATAAGGACCCTATTGACGTCCCAGATGATGATAAGGGAGATGATGATGCATTTGGCGATGAGGATCCCCATGATCATGATGGACATGAGTCTGATCACGAAGGTGATGATAGAGATGAGTTCCACGAGGGAGATGATCAGGGAGACGATGATGCAACTGGCTCAGATAGGGGTGATGAGATCGGTGTTGCAGTAGAAGG